TTTTGACCCCCCCTTTGTTCAGTGACACATTATTCAATTTCTGTTAGTCACATGTCTGTGGAATTTGTTCAGTTTATGTCTCAGTTGTTGATTCTTGTTATGTTCATACAAATATTTACACATGTTAAGTTTGCTGAAAATAAACGCAGTTGACAGTGAGAGGACGTTTTTTTTTTTTTTTCGGAGTTTATATATATATATATATATATATATATATGAAATATCACATTTACATAAGTATTGAGACCCTTTACTCAGTACTTTGTTGAAGAACCTTTGGCAGCCTCAAGTCTTCTTGGGTATGACGCTACAAGCTTGGCACACCTGTATTTGTGGAGTTTCTCTCGTTCTTCTCTGCAGATCCTCTCAAGCTCTGTCAGATTGGATGGGGAGCGTCGCTGCACAGCTATTTTCAGGTCTCTCCAGAGATGTTCGATCAGGTTCAAGTCCGGGCTCTAGCAGGGCCACTCAAGGACATTCAGAGACTTGTCCCAAAGCCACTCCTGCGTTGTCTTGGCTGTGTGCTTAGGGTCGTTGTCCTGTTGGAAGGTGAACCTTCACCCCAGTCTGAGGTCCTGAGCGCTCTGGAGCAGGTTTTCATCAAGGATCTCTTTGTACTTTGCTCCGTTCATCTTTCCCTCGATCCTGACTAGTCTCTCAGTCCCTGCCGCTGAAAACATCCCCACAGCATGATGCTGCCACCACCATGCTTCACCGTAAGGATGGTATTGGCCAGGTGAAGAGCGGTGCCTGGTTTCCTCCAGACGTGACGCTTGGCATTCAGGCCAAAGATTTCAATCTTGGTTTCATCAGACTAGAGAATCTTGTTTCTCATGGTCTGAGAGTCCTTTAGGTGCCTTTTGGCAAACTCCAAGTGGGCTGTCATGTGCCTTTGACTCAGGAGTGGCTTCCGTCTGGCCACTCTACCATAAAGGCCTGATTGGTGGAGTGATGGTTGTCCTTCTGGAAGGTTCTCCCATCTCCACAGAGGAACTCTGGAGCTCTGTCAGAGTGACCATCGGGTTCTTGGTCAACTCCCTGACCAAGGCCCTTCTCCCCCGATTGCTCAGTTTGGCCGGGCGGCCAGCTCTAGGAAGAGTCTTGGTGGTTCCAAACTTCTTCCATTTAAGAATTATGAGGCACTGTGTTCTTGGGGACCTTCAATGCTGCAGAAATTGTTTGGTACCTTTCCCCAGATCTGTGCATCGACACAATCCTGTCTCGGAGCTCTATGGACAATTCCTTCGACCTCATGGCTTGGTTTTTGCTCTGACATGCACTCTCAACTGTGGGACCTTATATAGACAGGTGTGTGCCTTTCCAAATCATGTCCAATCAATTGAATTTACCACAGGTGGACTCCAATCAAGTTGTATTTGTATTTGTATTTGTTAAGGATGCCCATTAGCTGCTGCCAAGGCAGCAGCTACTCTTCCTGGGGTCCTGCAATATTAAGGCAGTTATACACAGCCCATCTTAAATTAGCCCACCCAACTACCTCATCCCCATATTGTTATTTATTTTTCTCATTTGCACCCCAGTATCTCTATTTGCACATCATCTCATGCACATCTATCATTCCAGTGTTAATACTAATTGTTATTATTTTGCACTATGGCCTATTTATTGCCTTACCTCCATAACTTGCTACATTTGCACACACTGTATATATATTTTCTGTTGTATTTTTTGACTTTATGTTTTGTTTTACCCCATATGTAACTCTGTGTTGTTGTTTTTATCGCACTGCTTTGCTTTATCTTGGCCAGGTCTCAGTTGTAAATGAGAACTTGTTCTCAACTGGCTTACCTGGTTAAATAAGGGTGAAATAAATACAATAAAATAATAAAAAATATATACAATTTAAAATATTACATGACATTATATTTCATAACACTTTACCCAATACATGTAGTGTGTTCCCTCAGGCCACTACTTCACTATCACATATTTACAGTACAACATACATGTGTACGTGTGGGTAGAGTGAGTGTCTATATGTACCTGTGTGTGTGTCTCTTCACAGTCCCCGCTGTTCCACAAGGTGTATTTTTACCTGTTTTTTAAAATCTGATTCTACTGCTTGCGTCAGTTACCTGATGTGGAATAGAGTTCCATGTAGTCATGGCTCTATGTAGTACTGTGCGCCTCCCATAGTCCGTTCTGGACTTGGGGCTGTGAAGAGACCTCTGGTGGCATGTCTTGTGGGGTATGCATGGGTGTCCGAGCTGTGTGCCAGTATTCCAAACAGACCGCTCGGTACATTCAGCTCGTCGACACCTCTCACAAAAACAAGCAGTGATGAAGTCAATCTCTCTTCCACTCTGAGCCAGGAGAGACTGACATGCATGTCATCAATGTTAGCTCTCCGTGAGCTTTTAAGGGCCAGCCGTGCTGCCCTGTTCTGAGCCAAATGCAATTTTCCCAAGTCCCTCTTTGTGGCACCTGACCACATTGCTGAACAGTAGTCAAGGTGCGACAAAACTAGGGCCTGTAGGACCTGCCTTGTTGATAGTGTTGTTAAGAAGGTAGAGCAGCGCTTAATTATGGACATACTTCTCCCCATCTTAGCAACTGTTGTATCAATATGCTTTGACCATGACAGTCTACAATCCAGGATTACTCCAAGCAGTTTAGTCACCTCAACTTGCTCAATTTCCACATTATTCATTACGAGATGTAGTTGAGGTTTAGGGTTTAGTGAATGATTTGACCCAAATACAATGCTTTTAGTTTTGGAAATATTCAGGACTAACTTATTCCTTGCCACCCATTCCAAAACTAACTGCAACTCTTTAAGTGTTGCAGTTATTTCAGTTGCTGTTGTAGCTGACGTGTATAGTGTTAGTAAAGCTGATGTCGTTAGTAAAGATTCCCTGGGGAATTACTGATTCTACCTGGATTTTGTTTGAGGCTTCCATTAAAGAACACCCTCTGTGTTGTTAGACAAGTAACTCTTTATCCACATTATAGCAGGGGGTGTAAAGCCATAACACTATATAGTGCACTACTTTTCCAGCACCAGACTATGATCGATAATGTCAAAAGCCACACTAAAGTCTAACAAAACAGCCCCCACAATATTTTAATCATCAGTTTCTCTCAGCCAATCATCAGTTATTTGTGTAAGTGCTGTGCTTGTTGAATGTCCTTTTCTATAAGCATGCTGAAAGTGTGTTAATTTGTTTACAGTAAAATAGCATTGTATCTGGTCAAACACAATTTTTTCCAATTGTTTTCTAAGTGTTGGTAACAGGCTAATTGGTCGGCTGTTTGAGCCAGTAAAGGGGGCTTTACTATTCTTAGGTGGCGGAATGACTTTTGCTTTCCTCCAAGCCTGGGGGCACACCCATTCTAGTAGGCTTAAATAGAAAATATGGCCAATAGGAGTGTCAATATCGTCCGCTATTATTGTAGAAACATCTTAAGGATGATCAATGGAAACAGGATGCACCTGAGCTCAATTTTGAGTGTCATAGAAAAGGGTCTGAATACTTATGTAAATATGGTATTTCTGTTTTTATTTTTGTTATTTTTGCAAAAGTTTCTAAAAACCTGCCTTCGCTTTGTCATTGTAGGGTATAGATTGATGAGGGATTTTTAAAAAAAATCCATTTTATAATAAGGCTGTAACGTAACAATGTGGAAGAGGTGAAGGGGTCTGAATAATTTCTGAATGCACTGTATGTGTCTCTAATATGGTCATACATTTGGCAGGAGGTTAGGAAGTGCAGCTCAGTTTCCACCTCATTTTGTGGGCAGTGTGCACATAGCCTGTCACTGAGTCTGTACATTGTCAAAGCTTTCCTCAATTTTGGGTCAGTCACAGTGTTCAGGTATTCTGCCACTGTGTACTCTGTTTAGGGCCAAGAAGCATTCCAGTTTGCGCTTTTTTTTGTTTCATTCTTTCCAATGTGTCAAGTAATTCTATTTTCTCATGATTTGGTTGGGTCTAATTGTGTTGCTTTTGCTGTCCTGGGGCTCGGTGGGGTCTGTTTGTGTTTGTGAACAGAGCCCCAGGACCAGCCTGTTAGGGGACTCTTCTCTAGGTTAATCTCTCTGTAGGTGATGGTCTCTCTCTGTCTTTCTTTTTCTGTCTCTCTCTCTGTCTCTCTCTGTCTCTCTCTCTGTGTCTCTCTCTTTCTGCCTCTCTTTCTCTCCTTACCTCTCCCTCTCTCTGTGCAGCTAGAGTAGTTACAATGCCTGCCCACTGAGTTGGGAGTAATGTAGTAATGTTTGGCTATTTGAGCTGAAATTTTCCTGCTGACAGACTCTTTCTGCCTGAGTGGATGGTCTGTTCAAATAACAGAAAAAATTGTGTCATAACTGAGTGACCCAAACACTACTAAACACTACATGAGAAGTGATTCACTCTGTTTAATAGACAGACGACTGATGTTATAATCCTTTATTTATAAGGTTATAAGGTGAAGGATTGTCACATAGAGATTACAGTAAAATATGAAGAGGACCTGGGTAGAGTGTAGTGTAGCCCTTTGACTTTGGAGTGACCAAAGTGAGGTTGAGTGAATGAAATATGTATACAGTACCAGTCAAAAGTTTGGACACACCTACTCATTCCAGGGTTTTTCTTTATTTTTACTATTTCTTCATTGTAGAATAATATTGAAGACATCAAAATTATGAAATAACACATATGGAATCATGTAGTAACCAAAAAAGTTGGTTGAGAGAATGGCAAGGGTGTGCAAAGCTGTCATCAAGGCAAAGGTTGGCTATTTGAAGAATCTCAAATATAAAATATATTTAGATTTGTTTAACCCTTTTTTGGTTACTTCATGATTCCATATGTGTTATTTCATAGTTTTGATGTCTTCACTACTATTCTACAATGTAGAAAATAGTTTTTAAAAATAAAGAAAAACCCTTGAATGAGTAGGTGTGTCCAAACTTTTGACTGGTACTGTATATTGACCTGTTCTAAGATGTTTTCATATCATGCTGACCCCTCTCTCCCCTCTCTCTCTCTCTCCCTTCAGTGAGGTTTGCAGATTGTGGCCTGGGCAACAGGGTTCTGTTGGAGGTGGGCGACGCTGTGGACTTCAGGCTGGGTGAAGATGGCATGGTGTACGCCCGGCACGCCCTCCGTCTGGCGGACAGGAAGAGAGCCTTCTTAGTGGTGCGAGCGAGGGATCAGGAAACCAAGGAGGAGTGGAACACACGCGTTCACCTCCAGCTCCGGACAGACGGACAGGGAGACACGACAGAACACAACAAACAGGTATGGAAAGAATAGAATATCACAATTGGTCATTTAGCAGAAGCTTTTATCTATTCAAGGTGACCCTTTTGGTTCCAGGTATACCATTCTGGTTTCCATGTAGAACCCTTTCCACATAGAGGATTCTACATGGAACCCAAAAGGGTTCTACTTGGAACCAAAAAGGGTTCTCCGGTAGGGACAGTCAAAGAATCCTTTTGGAACCCTTTTTTCTAAGAGTTTAGGTATGGAGAAAAGACACATGAATAATTATAATGTGGAGATGGAAGTCAGAGGAGCAGTTCATCATAAGGCTACATTATCCATCAGTCAATTAACCAAGTTTCCCGACCACTCTTACTTATTTATAAGGATTCACTAATGTTACATTTACTAAATAAAAATTCACAGCCCACTCTGTTAGCCTTTGATGGCTAGTGAAGTGCTGATAACCACAGAAACAAGACAGCTCTCGCTACAGTACAGCCATCCTAAATGGCACCCTATTCCCTATATAGTGCACTACACCCTATGAGTGCCCTGGTCAAAAGTAGTGCACTATATAGGGAATACATTGCCATTTGGGACGCACACATAGCATCTGATGCTGCTGCCTCCTGTGTGTAAATTAGAGAAATAAGTAGGTCGTCTCTATAAGGGGAGACATTAAAGAGCCACTACAGCGACCTGTTCACATCTCCCAGTAAAAATGTTCCCAGAAATAGTGCAGTGCAATATACTTACTGTGTCCATTACAGTCTCTCAGCCTTCTGTGGGAGCAGTGAAAACAGTGTGAGAAAGGAAAAAGCTGTTAAAAACAACACCAATATGAAACCTGTGAATAAAAGCTATGAAATGTAACCAGTGGAGTGTTAGGCAGCTATTAGTCAGCTAGCTCTCTTAACAGACTGATGGAGCAGAATACTCTGAGAGAAGGGAGGGAGGGAGGGTTTGGTGAGAGGGAGAGAAAAGATGGAGTGAGATTTGGGGGAAGGAAGCAGGAGAGAGAGAAGGATAAGGATAGATGTATAGAGAAAGAGAAAAATAGAGAAGGGATGAGCTGGAGGGATAGAGCTGGAGGGATAGAGATAGAGGGATAGAGATGGAGGGATATAGATGGAGAAGTGGGGAAAGATGGAGGATAGAGGGAGGAATAGAGAGGGATATAAGAGGATAGATGGGGATGGAGGTTGAGGGATAGATGGAGGGATATAGATGGAGGGATATAGATGGAGGGATATAGATGGAGGGATATAGATGGAGGGATATAGATGGAGGGATATAGATGGAGGGATATAGATGGAGGGATATAGATGGAGGGATATAGTTGGAGGGGTATAGATGGAGGGATAGAGATGGAGGGATATAGATGGAGGGGTATAGATGGAGGGATATAGATGGAGGGATATAGATGGAGGGATATAGATGGAGGGGTAAGGTGGAGGGGTAGAGATGGAGGGATATAGATGGAGGGGTAGAGGTGGAGGGGTAGAGGTGGAGGGGTAGAGGTGGAGGGGTAGAGATGGAGGGGTAGAGGTGGAGGGGTAGAGGTGGAGGGGTATAGATGGAGGGGTGGAGATGGAGGGGTATAGTTGGAGGGGTATAGTTTAGGGGTAGAGATGGAGGGGTAGAGATGGAGGGGTATAGATGGAGGGATATAGATGGAGGGGTAGAGAGTGGAGGGGTATAGTTGGAGGGGTATAGTTGTAGGGGTAGAGATGGAGGGGTAGAGATGGAGGGGTATAGTTGGAGGGGTAGAGATGGAGGGGTATTAGATGGAGGGATATAGATGGAGGGGTGAGTAGGGGTGGGGGGTATAGTTGGAGGGTTGGTATAGTTGGAGGGGTTTAGTTTAGGGGTTGGTGGAGGGGTGAGGTGGGGTAGGGGTATGATGGAGGGGTGGAGATGGAGGGTTTAGATGGAGGTTGGTATGAGATGGAGGGGTATTATGTGGAGGGGTTAGATGGTGGTAGGGGTTAGAGATGGAGGGGTATAGTTGGGGGGTATAGTTTAGGGGTTAGGAGGAGGGGGGTGTGATGGGGGTTTAGTTGGAGGGTTATGTTGTGGTAGTGGGGTAGAGTGGAGGGGTTTAGAGATGTGGGGGTCTCGCTGGGGCTTTGCTGGCGGTGTTGCTGGCGGGTTCGCTGTGGTGGGGCTGGGTTATGTTGGCGGGGTCTGTTTCGGGGTCTAGCTGGCGGGGTAGGAGGGGGGTCGGATTGGAGGGGTGGGTGGCGGGATAGAGATGGAGGGGTATAGTTGGAGGGGTGGAGATGGAGGGATATAGAAAGAGGATGTGATGTCTAAGAGAGATCCTATTAAATTACATGGGTAATTAACTAAGTATTTTAATTCCTAATTCTATGGCTAATTCTATGACATAAACAGAGCGTGCGTGTGTGTGAGAGAGAGAGATATTTTGTTTTTGTATGTTTCTTTTCTTCCTGGTGTTTTCTGGAATAACTTCTTGATGTGTGTGGGTTTGTCAGAGAAATCTGTCTGTGTGTCTATATTTTTGTCTTTGTCTGTATGTTGGTGTGTAACATGTTTTTCTCTGCAGGTGAACTCCAGTGATGCAACTGTGATCATGTTTCCATGGCGCAGCGTGGTCGTCAGGGGTGATGGATCTCTGAGGCGGGTAAAGAGGGACTGGGTCATCCCCCCCATCAACGTCCCCGAGAACTCACGAGGACAGTTCCCAGAGGAGCTAGTCAGGGTAGGACACACACACGGTTCAGAGGACACATTTCACACACATTTCCCAGGGGTGCTAATCAAGGGAAGACAAACACACTGTCACGCAAAGTCTGTCATTTGGCCACTAGCGCAGAGGGTTTCATAGAGTGTGTGTTTGTGTGTTAATGTAGCTCAGTTGGTAGAGCATGGCGCTTGCAACGCCAGGGTTGTGGGTTCGTTTCCCACGGGGGGGCCAGTATGAAAATGTATGCACTCACTAACTGTAAGTCGCTCTGGATAAGAGCGTCTACTAAAATGTAAATATAATGTTTTGTGTGTATGTACAGTGTATGTGTGTAGCGCTCACTATTTCCGCCTGACACCATCTGCTGGTATGATATTTATATTAGAATCTGTGGAGAGACAGGGGGTTAATGGAAGGGTTCTAGTGATTTATACGTGTTTCATTAAGGTTTATGGTGCATCTGCTGCTTCCTGTCTGTACTGTATAGCCTATGTATGGTGTTGAGTGGAGCTAAATATGTTTTAAATAAAAGTGTGGTTGTGTAACTGTATCTAAAGTGGGAATATCTCTCCCTCCCTCCCTCCCTCTTGCTCTCCCACTCGCTCTCTCTTTCCCCCTGTGGTCTAGATCCGGTCGGACCGTGATAAGAACCGTCTCCTGCGGTACAGTGTGACTGGACCCGGTGCTGACCAGCCTCCGACCGGGATCTTCATCATCAACCCTATCTCTGGTCAGCTCTCTGTGACCAAACCCCTCGACCGCGAACACATCTCCAACTTCCATGTAAGTGTGTAACTGGGGTTGCAAAATTCTGGTAACTTTCCCAAAATTCCCAGGTTTTTCAGAAATCCTGGTTGGAAGATTCACTGGATCAGGAGGGAATCCTATATAGAGAATCCCTCTGACCACATTATTTGCTGCCAATTGCTGGTGTATGTAAAACGTCACACTGAGGTAGTTGGACAGGAAACTTCAGTCTGAGAATGTTACCTTTTATCTGCAGTACACAAACAGGCACACATGCACACACACTGAGACACACTCAAGCAACTCTAGCTCTGATCTGCAGGCAGGACATTTGGATGAAGGGTGGGGCTCCCTCATGAATATTCATACAGTGTGATGTAGTTGTCAGAGTCACTGAAGCTCTGTCATGAATATATTCATGAGCTGTTGCGGTGGCAGTACTGGAGACTCGGTATAAAGAGCAGCACAGACAGTATAGCAGCTATGAGACAGGGCACAGGGTGAGGGTACTGTAACAGCAGTATGTTATGGCAGCTACTCCTCCCTGCCTAGCGGTAGGCCTCTCTACCTCTCTGCCATGGCTGTTTTGGAGACAGGTACTGGGGAGGGTAATCTGCTTTTTCCATGTATTGCTCTCTGTTAGAGAGCAGTAGTTGAGAGGCCCTAGGAGAGAAACACTTAAGGGTCTTTAGATCCACCCTTGAGAGGCCAAGTGTACACTAACCTCAGTCAATGGCCCCGTTCCAATCCCAATACCTCACACCCTTCCTCTCTCTCTGCCCTTGGAGGCTTGAGCTCTGAAGTGTAAGCAATATGTAGGGCGTTCACTCACCGCTCTAGAATGTAGTGAAATATGGGTAAATTCAAGAGGGTGCTCCTACATTTATGTCTAAACCTAGTTTTCTTTAGCCTATGTCATTATGAATCACATACAATTAATTATTAGATTGTTCTCTACAATATTACAACCTTAATATTCTTGTACTTAACAGTATTGAGTAAATAAGAACGTTAGTTTGTTGTGACCATTGCTACTTTAGACCGTGCAGCTCTTGGTTGCATCTCTTCCATATTTTGGCGTTGGAGGTGATAACATTAGGAGGCGTTTCCACACTTTGGACCAATCAAAATCAACTTGATACCTCGTAATTTTCATCTCCAGATCCGTGGCTTTCTATTCCTCTAACCCCGGTCAATCAATATTGAGAGGGTCGTTTCTATGGTAATTTAAAGGGGATGACTCAGAAATTCACAATGAAAACTGGAACAGATTTTTAGGATAGATATTGAAATTGAGTCAGTTAGCTATGTTAATTAATATATATATATATATATATATATATATATATATATATATATATATATATTTGGCTCAATTGTCACGACTGTCTGTGAGATGCGGTAAACGAAGTCAGGCGCAGGACACAGAACTCTCGGATACGTACTTTTAATACGAAAAGGATCCAAAAGGACACAGAAAATAACTCCACGCAGGGAGGAAATAACCCGTTCACAAAATAGACAACCGTGAAGGGGAAAACAATCACACACAAAGTACAGATGAGAGACAGGGGTAATTATAAGGGAAACAATTAACATAATGACGAACAGGTGTAAACAATACAGACAAAACTAAACAAACACCGATAACATCGAACGGCAGCAGCTAGTACTCCGGGGACGACGAACGCCGAAGCCTGCCCGAGCAAGGAGGAGGAGCAGCCTCGGCAGAATCCGTGACATCAATTTTGTTTTGTATTCTGTGGATTTCATTTAGAAAAAGCCACTTTTATCACACATGAACCTGCAGCCACTAATTAGCTTCTAAGTTGACGTTTGAAGTTTGCTCCATGGGCAGAAAGGCGCTGTGACAGAGTTATATTGAGTAGCGACCACTTTTTCACCATGGCCATAATTACATTCTATTCACTCTAATTATGCTAAATTCTCGGAGTAAATCGTCATCTAACTTTTTAACTATACAGTGCCTTCAGAAAGTATTCAGACCCCTTGACATTTTCCACATTTTGTTACGTTACAGCCTTATTCTAAAATGGATTAAATAAATACAAATCCTCAGCAATCTACACGCAATACCCCATAATGACAAAGCGAAAACAGTTTTTTATACATTTTAGCAAATGTATAAAAAATTATAAACAGAAATGCCTTATTTACATAAGTATTCAGACCATTTCCTACTAAACTCGAAATTGAACTCAGGTGCATCCTGTTTCCATTGATCATCCTTGATGTTTCTACAACTTGATTGGAGTCCACCTGTGGTAAATTCAATTGATTGGACATGATTTGAAAAGGCACACACCTGTCTATATAAGGTCCCACAGTGCATGTCAGAGCAAAAACCAAGCCATGAGGTCGAGGAATTGTCCGTAGAGCTCCGAGATAGGATTGTGTCGAGGCACAGATCTGGGGAAGGGTACCAAAACATTTCTGCAGCATTGAAGGTCCCCAAGAACACAGTGGCCTTCATCATTCTTAAATGGAAGAAGTTTGGAACCACCAAGACTCTTCCTGAGCAATCGGGGGAGAAGGGCCTTGGTCAGGGAGGTGACCAAGGCACCATCCCTACGGTCAGGGAGGTGACCTGGCACCATCCCTACGGTGAAGCATGGTGGTGGTAGCATCATGCTGTGTCTTTCAGCAGCAGGGACTGGGAGACTAGTCAGGATCGAGGCAAAGATGAACGGTGCAAAGTACAGAGAGATCCTTGATAAAAACCTGCTCCAGAGTGCTCAGGACCTCAGACTGGGGCGAAGGTTCACCTTCCAACAAGACAATGACCCTAAGCACACAGCCAAGACAACGCAGGAGTGGCTTCGGGACAAGTCAATGAATGTCCTTGAGTGGCCCAGCCAGAGCCTGGACTTGAACCCGATCGAACATCTCTGGTGATACCTGAAAATAGCTGTGCAGCAACGCTCCCCATCAAACCTGACAGGGCTTGAGAGGATCTGCAGAGAAGAATGGGAGAAACTCCACAAATACAGGTGTGCCAAGCTTGTAGCGTCATACCCAAGAAGACCCGATGCTGTAATCGCTGCCAAAGGTGCTTCAACAAAGTACTGAGTAAAGGGTCTGAATACTGAAAATGTCGAAATACCTATTTTTGCTTTGTCATTATGGGGTATTGTGTGTAGATTGATGAGGGGAAAAAACGATTTATTCAATTTTAGAATAAGGCTGTAACGTAACAAAATGTGGAAAAAGTAAAGGGGTCTGAATACTTTCCGAAGGCACTGTATATGGTAGAAACAAAGGGTTTGGACTATTGTTTCTCTGATGCAATTCTCTATTGAATGAACATGTTTTCAGAAACATTGAATTAAATAATCATTTTATGGGTGAACACCCTACTTTATGCTGAAAACTATACCTAGCCTATCCAAGGTCTATGTGGAGATATTGCCATATTGCTTACACATACATAATCCTTTCTGATCCATGTGAGAGAGAAAACAACAGAAGAGGCAAAGTCATGAGTTATAGAATTGGAGTCCTCACAACAGCTTTTCCCTAACCCTGAGTTTGTCTCTGTCTGTGTAGCTGTGAGCCCATGCCATGTCATTCCCTAACCGTGTCCTAACCCTGATCCTCTATCTGTCCCTCTAGCTGCGAGCCCATGCTGTGGACCTGAATGGGAACCAGATAGAGAACCCCATAGACATCGTCATCAATGTCATAGACATGAACGACAATAGACCAGAGTTTACACACACCATCTACAACGGATCAGTACCAGAGGGCTCCAAACCAGGTAAAAACACACACACACACCTGAGTGGCGCACCGGTCTAAGGCACTGCATCTCAGTGCTTGAGGCGTCACTACAGACCCCCTGGTTCGATTCCAGGCTGTATCACAACCGGCCGTGATTGGGAGTCCCATAGGGCGCCGCACAATTGGCCCAGCGTTGTCCGGGTTTGGCCAGTGTAGGCCGTCATTGTAAATAACTTAACTTAACTGACTTGCCTAGTTAAATAAAGGTAAAATAAAAAACACACACTCACGCACACATACAGTCAATTTTTTATTGACTGCTTGGTTTGCGTTCCCAGGGTCCTTTGTGATGACAGTGACATCAGTGGACAAGGACGACCCTAAAACAGCCAATGGGATGCTCCGATACAAGATTATATCTCAGAACCCTGAGAGTCCCTCTTCCAACATGTTCACCATCAACAACAAGACAGGAGGCATCATCACCGTAGCAGCAGGCCTCGACAGAGAGGTGGGTGGGTGTTTGTGTGTGTGCGCGTGTGTGTGTGTGTGTGTGTGTGATGTGTATCAATGTGTACACCATAACAAAAAAGATCCTGTTGTTTCTACCGTAATTTACTGGCACCCTCCTGTAAGATACTGTAAGAAAAAAAAGTTATCTTTGGTTTAACAGTACATTATGTTTACAGGTAACTGGCTGCCAGTAAGTTACTGTAAAAACAACAGCATTTATTTTACACTGTATGAGTTTGTGTTTACATACTGACTGTCTAGGTTATTCTCTGTAATCTGAACCTGTCCCCTCTTGTTTTCCTCCTTCCAGAAAGTTCCTCAGTACACGCTGATCATCCAGGCTACTGACATGGAGGGGAACCCCACCTACGGCCTGTCTAACACAGCAACAGCTATCATCAGGATCAGTGACGTCAATGATAACCCCCCAGAGTTCACCGCTGACACAGTAAGTCACACACAGACAGACAGACAGACAGACACACAGACACAAAGACACAGTACAAATAAATACACACACACACACACACACACACACACACACTTTCTTTCTCACACACATCAAAGAACACCAAATAAATAATCTTTCAACAAAAAACATTACCAAAGTTTATTTATCATATTATTGAGCAGGATTTTTCATCTCTCACTCCCTCATCACTCTCCCCCCTCCCCCTCCCTCTGTAGTTCTATGGAGAGGTGCATGAGAACCGTGTGAATGTGATCGTAGCTAACCTGACAGTAACAGATAAGGACCAGCCCCATACTGCAGCGTGGAGGACTGTGTACAGGATCACCGCTGGAGACCCCACTGGACGCTTCTCCATCCCGACTGACCCCACCACCAACGAGGGACTGGTCACTGTGGTCAAGGTAGGACACAGCACAGCACATATACACTACCGGTCAAAAGTTTTAGAACATACTACTCATTTTCTTTATTTTTACTATTTTCTACATTGTAGAATAATAGTGAAGACATCAAAACTATGAAATAACACTTATGAAATCATGTAGTAACCAAAAAAGTGTTAAACAAATCAAAATATATTTAATATTTGAGATACTTCAAATAGCCACCCTTTGCCTTGATGACAGCTTTGCACACTCTTGGAATTATCTCAACCAGCTTCACCTGGAATGCTTTTCCAACAGTTTTGAAGGAGTTCCCACATATGCTGAGCATTTGTTGGCTGCTTTTCCTTCACTCTGCGGTCCGACTCATCCCAAACCATCACAATTTGGTTGAGGTCGGGGGAGTGTGGAGGCCAGGTCATCTGATGCAGCACTCCATCACTCTCCTTCTTGGTAAAATAGCCCTTACACAGCCTGGAGGTGTGTTGGGTCATTGTCCTGTTGAAAAACAAATGATAGTCCCACTAAGCCCAAACCAGATGGGATGGCGTATCACTGCAGAATGCTGTGGTAGCCATGCTGGTTAAGTGTGCCTTGAATTCTAAATAAATTATAGACAGTGTCACCAGCAAAGCACCCCCACACCATAACACCTCCTCCTCCATGCTTTACGGTGGGAAATACACATGTGGAGATCATCCGTTCACCCACACCGCGTCTCACAAAGACACAGCGGTTGGAACCAAAAATCTCAAATTTGGACTCCAGACTAAAGGACAAATTTCGTGTTTCTTGGCCCAAGCAAGTCTGTTCTTCTCATTGTTGTCCTTTAGTAGTGGTTTCTTTGCAGCAATTCAACCATGAAGGCCTGATTCACACAGTCCCCTCTGAACAGTTGATGTTGAGATGTGTCTGTTACTTAAACTCTGTAAAGCATTTATTTGGGCTGCAATTTCTGAGGCCGGTTAACTCTAATGAACGTATCTTCTGCAGCAGAGGTAACTCTGCGTCTTCCATTCCTGTGGCGGTCCTCATGAAAGCCAGTTTCATCAGAGCGTTTGATGGTTTTTGCGACTGCACTTGAAGAAACTTTCAAAGTTATTGCCCTTCATGTCTTAAAGTAATGATGGACTGTCGTTTCTCTTTGGTTATTTGAGCTGTTCTTTTTTTATTTTTTATTTTGTTTTTGGGGGGGGGGGGGGGTGGGGGGTAGATCAGCTTCATATTGCAGATAGATTGTAACTTCTATCAATGTAATTGTCTGCATCACTTCCAATCCCCCATGTTTTTTATATATATACTCCCCTTTATTACTTTTCAACCCCGCCATCCTTTCCCTACTTGGGGTAAATTAGTGAACAACAATGCCCAGGCCTCTACTTCCAGCCTATACTTACTATCTACACCTTATGGACACAGTCAATTTTACAATAATTATATTTTATTTGGGGTTTTTTGTTTTTGCTCCTGAACTTCTTCTACTCTCAACCTCTCCGATCATTTTCATGATGTCCATCCGGTTTGCTTCTATATGCCATATCTTTCTAACTGTGCTCTTTCCCAAAAGCTCCCAACATACAACCTATATACTTATCATGGACACAGTATGCTTACATTATTAGTTATCTTGTTATTATTTGTTGTTATTTGTTATTAGTCCCATCCTTCAACTCCATTCAATACCTCCCATCTATCTCTTAACACCATCCATATAGGATTTCTATTTGCCATATATATTTCAACCGTACTGTGATGTTTTACAAAAGTTCTGAACCTTTCTATTCTCATTATTTGTTCTGTTGATAGTGGACAACCTTGTTTCACTCCTCTTGACAGTTTAACATTTTCTGAGAAATAGCCATTATTTACTATTTTACACCTAGGGTTACTATACATGATTTTGACCCATTTTATAAGAGCTTATTTGAGCTGTTCTTGCCATAATATGGACTTGGTCTTTTACCAAATAGGGCTATCATCTGTCACAACACAACTAATTGGCTCAAATGCATTAAGAAGGAAAGAGATTCCACAAATTATCTTTTAACAAGGCACACTTTCCAGGTGACTACCTCATGAAGCTGATTGAGATAATTTCAAGAGTGTGCAAAGTTGTCTTCAAGGCAAAGGGTGGCTATTTGACACTTTTTTGGTTACTACATGATTCCATATGTGTTATTTCATAGTTTTGATGTCTTCACTATTATTCTACAATGTATAAAATAGTAAAAATACAGAAAAACCCTTGAATGAGTAGGAGTTCTAAAACCTTTGACCGGTAGTGTACATACATACAGTACAGACTGTACATACAGCACACAGATATACACATCACATATATTGTACACGGCTATGCACACAACATGTACCTCTCTGTATATTTATGTACACACACAGACAGATGCTGCACATACAAACAACACACAGATAAACACACACATGATAACGGCTAATCACAGGAGGTTGGTGGCACCTTAATTGGGGAGAACAGGCTCGTGGTAATGGCTGGAGCGGAATGAGTGGAATGGTATCACATACATTAAACACATGGTTTCCAGGTGTTTGATGCCATTTCATTCGCTCCATTCCAGCCATTATTATGAGCCGTCCTCCCCTCAGCAACCTCCACTGCGGCTAATGTATGTCTATCTGGCCGATAAACTGTATGTGCGTGTGTATATATGAGCGTGGCTAACTGGTGTGTATTTCCGTGTTTACGTGTCTCTCAATCTCCAGCCCATAGACTATGAGGTAAATCGTTCCTTCATGTTGACGGTGCTGGCTGAGAATGAGGTTGCCCTGGCCCGTGGTATCCACCTGCCCCGTCAGTCCACCGCCACCGTGTCTGTACGCATCGCAGATGTCAACGAGAGCCCAGAGTTCTCCCCCAACCCTAAAGCCATCAAACTGGAGGAGGGACTACCAGCCGGCTCGCTACTCACCACCTTCACAGCACACGACCCTGACAGATACATGCAGCAGAACATACGGTACGGAGAGGAGAGAGAAAAAGAGGGGAGAGAGTATTGCAGGGTTGCTCATGTTAGCTGATAATGTTTTATGATGTTTTATATGTGTTGAATGTGTATGTTTCAAATGCATTATAGAGTGTCATGTTACTTCCTGTTGTAATTGTGTTCTCTCATCCTTTTGGTTGATATCCAGGTATTCGAAGCTGTTTGACCCTGCTAATTGGCTGGAGATCGACCCTGTAAACGGGCGGATCTCCACAATCGCTGTGCTGGACAGAGAGTCTCACTATGTGAAGAATAACCTCTATAACGTCACCTTCATGGCCTCTGACAATGGTGAGTTGTGTGTGTAGGCCTATACTGTTTTTAGAGCTTACTGTGTTTATAGCTGTGTTTAATGTGGGAGGATGGGAGATGGGGTACTCTTGCAGGGAAGCTCTTTGAGCTCGATCTTACTATTCACATTAATTAAATTCAGTTACAATCCATTCAGTCTGAATCACTTTCTTAGCACGATAATACAAATATTTTGTTGCCAAAATCCCCCAAAATTCTAAGACCATCTCAGATGACAATGGCAGTACTGCTTCAGAAAATGATATGTGTACGGATGAGCATACAAACTAGTGCTCACATACACATTCTCTAAAAACACTCTCTCCCTGTCACATGCACACACACACACACACACACACACACACACACACCACAGAGCCCCTGCTGTGTCTGAGCTTAATTTTGACTGAGCTCTTCATTGTGCTTTTGCCAAATACACACACACATGCTCCTGCTCTCTCTCACTCACACACACACACACACACACACACACACACACACACACACACACACACACACACACACACACACACACACACACACACACACACACAGGCAGATGTGTGCCTCAGACAGACTCCCTAACATACTGATCTCTCTTTCCCTCATTCCCTTACTCACTCTCCTGGTGTGTATGTTGAATCACACGTTTCTCTCATCACATCTCTTATTTAGAAGGTTAGTTTTACTGAGGTCAGATGTAGCTGTTGACAGAGTGTTGTTTTGAGAAGTTTGGATGTTGCAATATGGTTTTGGGTGTGGCATAATATTATGTATGACAGCATGAATCGTGTTTGTTTTGAATGCTGTATTGTGCCTATGAGGATTCTTATTACCCTGTGTTTTTGGCAGTGGTTGGAACCAAAATTATTTTCCAATCGTTTCGTTCTGAACAGACCCACTATTTTTGTTCGTTTCGTTCAACTGAACCGATTCGAACCAAAAAAACGTACCGTTTATGTCACGTTCGCCTAAGAAGTATGACCAAAGCGCAGCGTTGGGAGTGAACATCTTGACTTTAATAATTCAACACGAGAATCCAAAACAAACCACGATCGTGAAGTCCTCAGTGACAACTACTGAACAATGAACAAAAACCCACAACCCCAAGGTGAACAATGACAGTTTAAATATGGCTCCCAATCAGAGATAACGAGCCGACAGCTGACACTCGTTACCACTGATTGGGAGAAACAACCAATAACCACCCAACCAACCCAAACACAACAATACTTAACACACTCTGGCTAAAAACCCAAGTCCCGGAACCAGAGCGTGACAGTACCCCCCCCTAAAGGCGCGGACTGCGACCGCGCCTCAAAAACCCAAATAGGGGAGGGCTGGGTGGGTGTTGCTCCTCGGAGGCGGCTCCGGCTCCGGGCTTGACCACCACCCTACATAACTCCCCCCGTAATGGCCCCGGTCCAATCCAACCCAGCTGGCTGGATCCAAACTGATGACGAGCACCCCTAGCTTGGCGCGTGAGACAGGAACGGACCGGACCTGGCCGACGATACGCACCCTCGGCTTGGTGCGTGGAGCCGGAACGGACCTCCTCAGGTTGACGACTCGCCTCCCTGGCTTGGTGCGAGTAGCAGGAATAGGCTGAACCAGGTTGACGACTCGCCCCCTTAGCCTGGTGCGAGTGGCAGGAACAGTCCGGGTTGGGCCGGCGACGCACACCGTAGTCTTGGTGCGTAGAGCAGAGACAGGCCGGGCTGGGCTGGCGACGCACCCCCTAGGCTTGGTGCGTAGAGCAGGGACAGGCGGGGCTGGGCTGGCGAAACGCACCACAGACTTGGTGCGGGGCGCAGGAACAGGCCGGGCTGGGCTGGCGACGCACCCCCTAGGCTTGGTGCGTAGAGCAGGGACAGGCCGGGCTGGGCTGGCGAAACGCACCACAGACTTGGTGCGGGGCGCAGGAACAGGCCGGGCTGGGCTGGCGACGCACCCCGTAGGCTTGGTGCGTTGAGCAGGGACAGGCCGGGCTGGCGACGCGCACCGTAGGTTCAATGCGAGGAACAGGAACAGACAGAACCGCACTGGGGACACACACCCCTGGCCCTACACGGGGATCAGGAACGGGCCGGACCGGACTGGTAACACACCCCAGTACCTCTCGCCGTACCTCCACACTTTCCTTCCCCTTCATGACCAGTGGCCCCCTTAAACTGGCGGCCATATCTGCCAACCTCTTGCACTCCTCCGGGCCGTACACCTTCTGCCCCGACGTCGTGAGCCCCCCCCTAAAAATTTTCTGGGGGTCTCTCCTCCCCGTGGACCAGGCATCTATCTTCCTCGCCAGACTCTCCAGACTCTCCATCCTCTGCTCCCAAGTCCAACCTCTCTCCTCCTCACGCGGCTTGACCCAGTCGAAGTGGATATCCGCTAGAGTTGCTTCTGGCGTTGGCTCCTGGACACGCTGCTTGGTCTCGTTGTGGTGGGTTTTTCTGTCACGTTCGCCTAAGAAGTATGACCAAAGCGCAGCGTTGGGAGTGAACATCTTGACTTTAATAATTCAACACGAGAATCCAAAACAAACCACAATCGTGAAGTCCTCAGTGACAACTACTGAACAATGAACAAAAACCCACAACCCCAAGGTGAACAATGACAGTTTAAATATGGCTCCCAATCAGAGATAACGAGCCGACAGCTGACACTCGTTACCACTGATTGGGAGTCACTCAACCAAATACAGAAACAACCAATAACCACCCAACCAACCCAAACACAACAATACTTAACACACTCTGGCTAAAAACCCAAGTCCCGGAACCAGAGCGTGACAGTTTATATCGTTCCTTTGTGTTCCTTTTTTAACGTTTTTTACATTTAGCTCACTAACTTACTTCACCAATCAGTGCGGATAGAGCAGGTAAGCTAGTTGTTTACATGCGTGATGGACAGACAAGTGTAGCCTATGGCGCAAGATGCGACTGAAATGTTGCAGGTGGCAAGAGAGGGTTGAGGAGGAGGCTTGAAACGCTGGGCATCTTGTTTTGACATGCATTATATGAATTAGGTCCACATAATTATACCTAGGAGGAGTGGCTTCTCTGGAGGAACTTTGAATGTCCTTTGAGCTAGCTAGCTAACAAGCTTGCGCTAGATAGCTAACAAGCTTGTGTGTGCAGAGCGGTACCAGAATTTAAAACACGTCTTACCTTTTTGTAGTTAATAAATCCAATGTGAAACATCATAACTAGGCCTGTTGTATCCTTAACTAGCTTTTAAAAAGTCAATCCATTATTCTCTAGCTAATAAAAAATCTGGCTCCCTATCTTCTGAATTTAGCATTAATGTAACATCAGTACAGTCAGTAGCCTGTTTGGGGATTTAGGCTGGGTTTCTGTATAGCACTTTGTGACATCTGCTGATGTAAAAAGGGCTTTATAAATACATTTGATTGATTGATTTAGCTTGCAGGCAGATACTGGAATACGTTTTTGAGTGACAGAGTGAGGGCTTTGCATAGGCGCTTAGTTGGTTTTGTTGTGGGACTAGAAAAAAATGCCGGGAACGTAAAATAACGTTATTAACCCGTTCCCATGCATTTAAAATAGCGGTTCTGTTCCAGGGTCTGTTTCTGTTCCTTGAAAAAGAAAATCCTGATTTTCAGTTCTGTTCTCTGAACCAGTTCCAACCCCTGGTATCTCCTCTCAACATATAAATAGTTCAGTACAGTATCTATGTTGCACCAAACAGGTTGCCTTTTTGACATATTTTATTTATTTATTCATATCTAAGGGGCCTTTTACTCCACTTTGCTTATCTCACTGGTCTCTCCTTCTCTTGCTCCTCCATCCCTCCATCCTCTCTCTCAGGCATCCCCCCTGCCAGTGGTACGGGTACGTTACAGATGTACCTTTTAGACATAAACGACAATGCTCCTCGTGTCTTCCCTCCGGAGGTGGAGATGTGTGAGAAGCCTGAGCCCAATGCCATCAACATCACTGCCAGCGACCCCGATCTGATCCCTAACGCCGGCCCCTTTGCCTTCGAACTGGCCAACCGGCCGGCAGACGCACGACGGAACTGGACCCTCACACGCCTCAATGGTTAGTGTGTGTCTGTGTTTTATCTTTCCTGTCTTTCTTTCACTCCCTGTCTCTACATTTCTCTATTGCCCTCAATTAAATTCAAAAATGCTTTATTGCCATGACAAAATAACTTATAGAAAATTGTTCCCCATCTCGCTCTGTCTCTTTCTTTCTCTCGCCTTCCCTATATTACACTCTCTCAATTCAATTCAATATACTGACATGTAAAGTCTTTATTGACATGGAAAGTAAAACACTTACACTGAGGGAAAAAAGTATTTGATCCCTTGCTGATTTCGTATGTTTGCCCACTGACAAAGAAATAATCAGTCTGGGGTATGGGATGGACCACAGGAATTATTTGCTAGGATAATAATTGCTTGTCAATGAATTAAATGTAATACAATGGCAATCCGGGTTATATGTTAAAATCCTATGCGTGAACTGCCGACATTATTACGCATATTAATTGTTAATGATGGAAAATAGGATATGCATAATTTTTTTTAAATAGTTATATATATATATATATATATATATATATATAGGTGAAAGCATTGGAAATGCTTTTGGCGGTTAATCTGCTTCTATTTTGTGGGTGGCACTGTGTGCTGTTTTCGATGGATGGGTCCTGGCCTCTCGGGGCCTTAGGGATCCGGAGGGACGTGGGTGGGATGCTGATCACTGGGATGACGGCTCAACTTGGGATGGGGAGGGGCTTTAGCGGGGGAATTAGTGGAGAACAACTGAAGGGTTACTCCGTAGCAATGCAAATATCACGGTACAGCTACAGTGGGGGAAAAAAGTATTTAGTCAGCCACCAATTGTGCATGTTCTCCCACTTAAAAAGATGAGAGAGGCCTGTAATTTTCATCATAGGTACACGTCAACTATGACAGACAAAATGAGAAAAAAAATCCTGAAAATCACATTGTAGGATTTTTAATGAATTTATTTGCAAATTATGGTGGAAAATAAGTATTTGGTCACCTTCAAACAAGCAAGATTTCTGGCTCTCACAGACCTGTAACTTCTTCTTTAAGAGGCTCCTCTGTCCTCCACTCGTTACGTGTATTAATGGCACCTGTTTGAACTTGGTATCAGTATAAAAGACACCTGTCCACAACCTCAAACAGTCACACTCCAAACTCCACTATGGCCAAGACCAAAGAGCTGTCAAAGGACACCAGAAACAAAATTGTAGACCTGCACCAGGCTGGGAAGACTGAATCTGCAATAGGTAAGCAGCTTGGTTTGAAGAAATCAACTGTGGGAGCAATTATTAGGAAATGGAAGACATACAAGACCACTGATAATCTCCCTCGATCTGGGGCTCCACGCAAGATCTCACCCCGTGGGGTCAAAATGATCACAAGAACGGTGAGCAAAAATCCCAGAACCACACGGGGGGACCTAGTGAATGACCTGCAGAGAGCTGGGACCAAAGTAACAAAGCCTACCATCAGTAACACACTACGCCGCCAGGGACTCAGATCCTGCAGTGCCAGACGTGTCCCCCTGCTTAAGCCAGTACATGTCCAGGCCCGTCTGAAGTTTGCTAGAGTGCATTCGGATGATCCAGAAGAGGATTGGGAGAATGTCATATGGTCAGATGAAACCAAAATAGAACTTTTTGGTAAAAACTCAACTCGTCGTGTTTGGAGGACAAAGAATGCTGAGTTGCATCCAAAGAACACCATACCTACTGTGAAGCATGGGGGTGGAAACATCATGCTTTGGGGCTGTTTTTCTGCAAAGGGACCAGGACGACTGATCCGTGTAAAGGAAAGAATGAATGGGGCCATGTATCGTGAGATTTTGAGTGAAAACCTTCTTCCATCAGCAAGGGCATTGAAGATGAAACGTGGCTGGGTCTTTCAGCATGACAATGATCCCAAACACACCGCCCGGGCAACGAAGGAGTGGCTTCGTAAGAAGCATTTCAAGGTCCTGGAGTGGCCTAGCCAGTCTCCAGATCTCAACCCCATAGAAAATCTTTGGAGGGAGTTGAAAGTCCGTGTTGCCCAGCGACAGCCCCAAAACATCACTGCTCTAGAGGAGATCTGCATGGAGGAATGGGCCAGAATACCAGCAACAGTGTGTGAAAACCTTGTGAAGACTTACAGAAATCGTTTGACCTGTGTCATTGCCAACAAAGGGTATATAACAAAGTATTGAGAAACTTTTGTCATTGACCAAATACTTATTTTCCACCATAATTTGCAAATAAATTCATAAAAAATCCTACAATGTGATTTTCTGGAAAAAAAATTCTCATTTTGTCTGTCATAGTTGACGTGTACCTATGATGAAAATTACAGGCCTCTCTCATCTTTTTAAGTGGGAGAACTTGCACAATTGGTGGCTGACTAAATACTTTTTTTCCCCACTGTACATGGCGGGGACTGAATCAAGCTAGTCGTCTTGACTTCTTTCTTATCTCATTCTCGTTGGCACCAAAAGTTTTAAAAAGTGTTGATAGGGGACAGAATGCGGTCGGACCATCATATAATAGGCATATACATTACTCTTACTGAATTTCCACGTGGGCGAGGATATTGGAAATGTAATCAAAGTCTATTGGATGATAATTTATTTATAATTAGAACAAAGGAATTTATAACAGACTTTTTCCAACATAACCCCTTATTGTATGGGACACCTTTAAATGTGCCTTTAGAGGCCATGCAATTCAGTACTCATCTCGAAAACAAAAGCAATTTAGGTCAAAAGAGTTTATACTAAGAAAGGAAATAGAAAGTCTAACAGAACAGATAGATGGCAATAAAAACTGTAACATAGAGGCTCAGAATAAATTAGAGGAAAAACAAAAAGAAATGGAGAAACTTATTCAAGAAAGATGAAGTGTAATATATTATAAAAATAAAGCAAATTGGATGGAATATGGGGAAAAATGCACAAAATTCTTTTTTCATCTTCAACATAGGAATGCCACAAAAAATAACTTAATGAAACTGGTTACAATTGACGGAGTCACCCATAATTCACCAAATGATATTTTGAAGGAAGAAACAAAGTACTTTAAGCATATGTTTTCTTTTCAGTCGCCTCTATCTCCTCTAACTGAAGCTAATTGTAGAGATGTTTTTCTATTGATAATGTCAAATTAACAGCCACACAGAAAGACTCATGTGAAGGTGAAATTACAGAGGAGGAACTTCTGGATGCAATTAAAGACTTTAAGTCTGGGAAAACTCCAGGGTTGGATGGCATACCAGTCGAGGTATACCAAACCTTTTTTGATATACTAAGAGGACTGTTATTAGCATGTTTTAACCACTCCTATGTAAATGGTAGATTATCTGACACTCAAGAAGAAGGTCTGATCTCATTATTACTGAAACAGGATACAAGTGGAAAATATAAAGATCCAGTCCATTTACAAAATTGGAGGCCCCTTACACTTCAGTGTTGTGATGCAAAAATTCTAGCAAAAATGTATAGCGCATAGAATTAAAAAAGTATTGTCGGATATTATTCATTCTAATCAGACAGGTTTTTTACATGGAAGATACATTGGAGATAATTTAAGGCAAGTATTGGAAACAATGGAACACTATGGAAAATATGGGAAACCAGGCCTGCTATTCATAGAAGACTTCGAAAAGGCATTTGATAAAGTTCGACTGGGGTTTATATATAAATGCCTGGAGCATTTAATTTTGGAGAATCTCTTATAAAATGGGTCAAAATCATGTATAGTAACCCTAGGTGTAAAATAGTAAATAATTGCTATTTCTCAGAAAGTTTTAAACTGTCAAGAGGAGTGAAACAAGGTTGTCCACTATCGGCATATCTATTTATTGTGGCCATCGAGATGTTAGCTATTAAAATCAGATCCAATAATAATATCAGAGGATTAGAAATACAGGGCTTAAAAACAAAGGTGTCATTGTACGCTGATGATTCATGTTTTCTTTTAAATCCACAACTAGAATCCCTCCACAGCCTCATAGAGGATCTAGATACATTTTCTAACCTCTCTGGATTACAACCAAATTATGACAAATGTACTATATTACGTATTGGATCACTAAAAAATACAATTTTTATATTACCATGTAGTTTACCAATAAAATGGTCTGATGGTGATGTGGATATACTCGGAATACATATACCAAAGGAAATAAATGATCTCACTTCAATAAATTTTAATAGAAAGTTAGCAAAAATAGATAAGATCTTACTACCATGGAAAGGAAAATACCTGTCAATTTGTGGAAAAATCACCCTGATTAACTCTTTAGTATTATCCCAGTTTACCTGTTTGCTTATGGTCTTGCCTACGCCTAGCGAACTGTTTTTAAAATTATATGAGAAAAAAATATTCAATTTTATTTGGAACGGCAAGCCAGACAATATATATAATGAATATGAATTCGGAGGACAGAAATTATTAAAAATTAAAGCATTAGACCAATCACTAAAAGCTTCAGTCATACAAAAGTTATACTTAAATCCGAACTGGTTCTCAAGCAAATTAGTAAGATTGTCTCACCCAATGTTCAAGAAAGGCCTTTTTCCCTTTATTCAGATTACAACAACTCATTTGCAGTTATTTGAAAAGGAAATAATCTCCCAAATATCACTATTTCTAAAACAAGCCATAGAAAGTTGGTTGCAATTTCAATTTAATCCTCCAGAAACGACAGAACAAATAATGCAACAAATATTGTGGTTAAATTCAAAAATAGTAATTGACAAAAAACCTTTATTTTTTGACAGAATGTTTAAAAAAGGTATAGTCTTCGTAAATGATATCATCGGTAGGACTGGTGGAGTTATGTCGCACATGCAGCTAACAAAAACATATGGAAATGTCTGCTCTACCCAAAATTACAACCAAATAATTGCAGCC